TCTCTCTCTCTCTCTCTCTCTCTCTCTCTCTCTCTCTCTCTCTCTCTCTCTCTCTCTCTCTCTCTCTCTCTCTCTCTCTCTCTCTCTCTAACTTCGTAATTGGTTCTTGCAATTTGTAATCCATGCCATGCCAGGATCCTCGTCTCTTGGTCAGATGACAAGTCAGATGGCGCTCGGCGGCGTACAGGCGCGGTTTCGTGCTTGAGAATCTGGCGTGGTCGATGGCTGGATATATCATGTCTGCTGTGTGCACGCTATGAATGCAAGTGTACGAAGCAGAACAAGCCATACCAGCCAGCTGGGAGGAACACAGCCGATCCACAAGGAAGGAGTACCGCTGGACCACAACGAGTTCCGAAAGATGCAGAATGGTTGTCCCACATGACTCGCCCACAGAAGAACCGACAATGGAGGAAAACACCCACTTGCGGGTAATCCCGATTGGTGAATGATCGTTTTCGTAAATGGGGGCATGGCATGGGCCTCCTAATGCATAGGTGGAGGCACTGTCCCGCATACGACGCTAAGATGGCGGCAATTATGAGAGGGGGGGGATTGGCTTTCCATCCGCCACTGGCAGGCTGCCATATATCGGCTTCTGTCCCCCGGACATACCAGGATCGGAGTCGTGAAAGCCACGAATTGCGCAGAGCTTTCCTCGGGGCTGATGATGGTTCGATGGAAGGTTCTGCCATCCACGCCCCTCTCGCTCTGTCATGCTGTGGCCGGCGTTCCCTCACTGCTGTCGTCGGTAGGGGATCGAAACCACAGTGCTCTTTTTGTGTGACTGTGCAGTGTTCTTCACTCACCGACTGGGCATCCAATGCCAGCAGGGCGGGTTGTGATGTTGTTTGCGGAGGGTCAGTCGCTCGTCGTGATTGTCGTTTCCGGAAGCTTTGTGCGAAAGGCAGTGATTGTGAAAGAAGTGAGACTCTGGCAAATGTCATGTCCTGTAAACTTCGGCGTGCACAGATTAGGTGCAGATTACAAGCTGCAGCACATACTAGACAACAGAGGCAGTGCTTGTATTCAGAGTTTTCGGGTCTGCAGTGCTTGTCAAGCAACTGCTTGGGCGAGAGCAGGAGTTATCGTGCTTATTGCTGTCCCAAATGTCGGAGACCGTGTACACGTATAGCTTCTGCATCCAATTCGCCATCTCCATCCTCCTCCTCCTCGTCATCGGTGCCATCTTCTTCTTCTTTCTCTTTGTCGGGGTCCTCGTCATCTTCCTCCTCTGCGTCTGTGGCGTCATCTCCTGATGAAAGTCAGCCTGGAGAAGAACCCTCCTCCTCGCCCCAAGCACCATCGTTCCCTGCCTCCAATCACTCCTCCTCGCTTCTTGCTGGTGGTGTATTGTCATGGTGGCCATGGAGAAAAAGGCGATCGGCTCAGAGGGAAGAATACATTAACTTTTTTCTCCAGCTTGCGAGGGCACGCACATTGTTCAGTGATGCTCTGCAGGCCTTCTTCCGCAGCGAGCTTCGTCGGCGTGCATTCGTCACGGTTGCACTGATCGTCCTTAGCAGAGTTGGGCATTTCATTCCTGTCCCTGGGTTCGATCGCCGCCTGATGCCCCGCGACTTTCTCGATGTCGTGTCGGGTGTCGTTGAGGAGTTTGGAGACCTTAACTCCTCACTCGTTCTCAACATCTTCCAGTTGGGAATGAGCCCGTACATCATGTCATCCATCGTCATGCAGGTGCTGTGCCTGGTTGTGCCGTATTTCGTGCGTGCGAGGAAGGAGGGCCTGGACGGACAGGACACTATCAAGTGGTACACGGGAATGATAGCCATTGGGATCGCGGTGGTGCAGAGTCTGGTTGTTGCGGGCATGTCGGTCCAGTTCTCGCTGTATGCGCAATCGCGGCGTTTTTTGTATTTTTTGGTGACGTGCTCGTACCTTACCCTTGGCGCATGGCTTCTGCATAAGATCAGCGATCATATCACCTTGGCGGGTTTCGGCTCGGGCTCATCGGTCATCATTTCCATCAGCATCTTGAGGGGTTACGCCGATTCGCTGAGCGTCTTGGCGAGGAACATGCAGCAGAATGGAGGTATTACCGAGGGGTCGTCCTTTCTCCTTTTTCTTCTCTTCTTCTTGTTGATGACGGCGGGGGCGGTTTTCGTTATCGAGGGGCGAAGGAAGGTGCCCATGGTGTATTTTCAAGGCGAGGGTAGGAGTCGGGGACGCTTCTCGCCCTCCTCGATGCGATCAGTTGTCGCCGACTCTGAGTCTGAGGCCTACATCCCTTTCAATATCAACCCTGAGGGTATGCAGCCTGTGCTTCTTGCCACCTACCTTCTTAGCGTTCCCGGGCTTATCGCAAGCGCCACTAGGAACCCATCCGCCATCCTCGTTCGTGACGCTCTCAATCCGCTCAAAGGTGGCCCTTGGCTGTATTATTCCTGCAGTTTCCTCCTCATATTTGTGATGAATCAGCTCGATTTCATGGATCTGCCAAAGGAAATGGCGGAGTACCTTACCAAGATCGGTGCAAGGGTCCCTGGTGTCCGACCAGGGGTCGCCACAATTAAGCATCTGGGGTTTGTTCATGCCAGTGCACGTTTCTGGGGGGGCCTACTACTTGCTCTTCTGACGACCGTTTCCGGCCTCGTTGATCAGCGCTACCGGGCCAAGTACCCAGGCCTCACCATCGGGTTTACTTCGATGCTCATTATTGTGGGTTCGATTATCCAGACTAAGCGTGCCGTTGTCGCTTATCAGCAAATGCCAAAGCTGCAGAAAGTTCTGCGCAAGTATAGAGTCTGACCTGTTTGTTGTTTTCCAGAATATGTACAAGCGCCACGTTGTCTGTCCCGATTCTTTCGATGGCAATGACCTATATTAGGTGGCACTTGTACCGAGGCTGGCTTTCCCTTATGCATTTGACCGCTATTACTGCTAGATTCAGCCCAAAAAGTCCATGTCTCTGGTACTCTCTACTAAGTATGCCTGCTCTTACTTCACACCTCCAGTTGCCTTCCCTTTTTCGCTCTCC